TTGTTCATTAGTCATGTAGAAAAAAAAAAATGAACTCTAACTTCTCAGCAGTAATTGGAGAAGCACTATAGGAGCACAGGAATGAAAGTCAGGAGGCACATCTTCTCATTTTGCTTCTGCCAACAATTAACTATGCTTCTAGAGAAAATCCTAAAACTAGGGCAACTGAATCCACCACAAACTAATGTCGTTTTATGTTAACTGGGCCCTCACTGTTGCATAGCAATCTATTTATTCTTTCTTGTTTGAAATCTATGACATTCTCTACACTAGTTTTTTTCTAAATCCTATCTTTTCGCTTACACCATGCCCCTCCACCTTTTTCTCTGAAGAGAGGAATTTGCTCTTACTTCATCATGGAAATCTCTACTTTTATGAATTTCATCTTTTCCCTTATCCTACATCTCAAAAACCTTTATCATCTTGCTTTATTCTCCCTTTCTTTTCTCTAGTTTTGGACAAAGAAGAAGCCTGTCTTCTTGCCAAGATGAAGCCTTCCCCTCTGATTCTAAATTTCATTATGGTAAAACTGGATAATTTAACAGTTTTTCTTTAGTCTTTTTTGTTTAGTATTTGATATGCTTTTCAGTTTTAAAGTTTCATGAATATCTCATTCTATGAAATGTCATTCTCTTGACCATCTTTGCTACCAATGAAACAAAAATGTTAAGTTTAATTTTGTTATTAGGCTGATTGAGACATGCAACCCAGTCTATCTTCCCAAGTTTTAGGTGGTTGGGGACTTTCTTCCAAGAGACATCTCATATATGTATTTTATTTAACAAATATTTATTGAGGACTGACATTGTGTAATACACTCATGCAAATGTAGTATGGCATACACAAGAAATTTTGGAGGCAGAATTAATAGGATTTTGACTTAGAATCAAAGAAGAGAGAAGTTTCAAAGATAAATTTGAGATTTCAAGCTTGAAGAATCAGAGAATGGTGTTACCATAGAGCCTTAGAAACTAGTTTTGTAGAGACATTGAATCACTTTGATTTTAAATATGTTGAATCTGAGGTTCAGTTAAGATAGGTGGAAATAGCTAGCAGTTATTTTGAGACAAATCAGAAGTGTATAATCTTATGTCATGAGAAAAAATTAGAATTGTGGTTGGAGTCATCCAACATGGGGTTGTTGAAGTCATGTGAATGAATGAGAGCTCATGGGAACAGGGCAACAGGGAGTGGTAGGTTGAGGAGTTTGCTTTTTTAAATGAGAATTATCTCTTTTGCAAAGACAAGGAAAGTCAGTCAATCAGTAAATATTTATTAAATGCCTATTTTGTGTCAGGCATGTAGGAGGTGCAGTGGATAGATTGTCTGGCCTGGAGTCATGAAGACTCATCTTCATGAGCTCAAATCTGGCCCCAGACACTAGCTATGTGACATTGGGCAAGTCACCTCACCCATTTGCCTCCATTTCCTCATCTGTAAAATGAGTTGAAAAAAGAAATGACAGACCACTCCAGTATTTCTACCAAACAACAACAACAGTAAAAAACAAACACACCCACATGGGGTTATGAAGAGTTGGACATGACTGAAAAAACTGACTTGTGGCAGGCACTGTGTTAACCGCTAGAGATACAAAGAAAGGTAAAAGATAGTCCCTGCCCTTGAGGGTTTCATAGTCTATTGACTGAAAAAGGAGGTGAGATCTTTTTTGAAAAGATAGGGAAGTTAGAGAAGATATGTGATATTGCTGTAGTGATGTGTTAAAGAAGAGGTAGTGGGAGAAAGATTTTATGTTATGGTTTTAACATTATCCATCAAGAGTTCAAGAGCTTTGGAAGCGGTGGAATCAACAAGTGATGAATAAGAAATTACAGAAATGATTGTATAGATAGCATTTGTGATGGGTCAGGTCAGCCTACCACCATGATTTTCTACAGCCTGGGTGGAGTAATGGAACATATATCGTGGGTCTTCAAGGGTTAGCAGTAGGTTTAGGTGACCTACGGTGTTACTAATGGAAGCGGCAAAATGACCTTAACTGGATAAGGATAAAAGAATAGGTTAAAAAAAAAAAGAGGAACAGTTACCTGGATAAAGTTTCAGGCATCCAGGGATTTGAAGACCTATTGAAGGTAAATATATGGGTGAGGTTTGGGAGTGTAGATGATGTGGGAGGTAATGGAGATTGTGTGTGTTTCAGATTGCTATTTGGAGTCAGTCAGGTAACAAGCACTAATTAAGCACCTCCTAGATGCCAGGCATGGTTCTAAGCGCTGGGGATACAAAGAAAGGCATAAGATCATCTCTTCCACTGAGGACCTCACAAGTATGTAAGTAATGTATGATAGTGCAGGAGGTGTTGACAGACAAGAGCAGTAAAGAGCTAGGATAAAAATGTAAAGAACAGCTAAACTTACTAAAGCATTCACTTTGGCCTCTCAGATATCCACTCCTCTTTTGCCTCCACTCCTTTCTTAAATAATCAGAACTGATGGAGTTAGTTAAACAACAAATTCCCAGATACTCAGTTGAAAACTAATGTTTAACTTTCCCTTATTCCCCTATGATACAAAAGATTGTATCACTGTGGTTTTTGTTGTGTTTTTTTTTGTTATGTTGTGGGTATTTTTTTGGGGGGAGGGCATAACACTGTGAGGTGGAACTATAGGACAACTGAGTGATAGACCCTTAGCAGAAACAATGGTAGCATTCATTTGGATCCTATTCCTAAAGTGAGAGGTAGGGGTATGGAGAGGACAAGAGGTAGTCACATAATGGATGGGAAGATTTCAGAGGTCTAGGGATGTGAAAACTCCCTCTAACAAGACCACTCAGCAGCTGCTCTGGAACTTTGGATCTCATACAGTCATCATGTGTCATAGGCAAGACTTGAACCCAGTTCTCCCTGGCTCCAAGGCTGGTTTTCTCTCCTTGGCCAAAGTTTCTCTGTTTTATTGAAAGTACCATGTAAGTTGGAGGCATCTAGGTGGTGCAGTAGATAGAGCACTGGGCTTGGAGTCAGGAAGACTCATATTCAAGTGCTTAAATCTGGCCTCAGACACTAACTGTGTGACCCTGGGCAAGTCACTTAACCCTTTTTGCCTTAGTTCCCTCATTTGTATAATGAGCTGGAGAAGGAAATGACAAACCATTCCAGTATCTTTGCCCAGAGAACCTCAAATGGAAGAGTAAGACAGGAATGAAATAACATAACAACCAAACCACACAAATTAGCATCCACGTTCCCTTGTATCATTCACTGTTGCATGAGTATCACTCATCAGTTAGACTTCAATGTCTTAAAGGGCAGGGGTCACCTTGTTTTTTGAATGGATCCCCACCCCACCCCACCCCCCCGAGCACCTAACAGTGCTGACTATACAGTCAAAGCTCCATAAATACTTGTTGGATAATAAGAGTGGGGATGGATTGGTGCTTGCAAAGCAGCTATCAATATAGGTGTCATGCATTCTTTTCATTACATAATGACCTCATGTGATTAGCCAGTTATGGGCAAAGCAAAACTATGTAAAGGATCTGTTATTTTGGCAACATGAAGAATTCCTGGTGTGGAGACTTCCTTTGCCAGTTATCTTTCACCAGCTATTGTCAATAAGAGACACTTCAGGTAAAATGTGTTGTCCAGAGTCAGGTAGCTAGCAAGGATCTGAGGCAGAACTTTACATTGGGTCTTCTAGATTTTAAATCCAGTTCATTGTCTAGAATGCAGCTGGTGATGCAGTGGATAGAGTGGTGGACCTGGAGTCAGGAAGACCTGGATTTAGATACAGCCTCAGACTCTTACTAGCTGTGTGATCCTGGGCAAGTGGTCTAACTTCTGCCTGCTCAGTTTCCTCAACTGTAAAATGAGAATAATAATCATACCTACCTCCCAGGATTGTCATGAGCATCCAATGGGATATTTGGAAAACAAGCTTAGCACATATGCCTGGAGTATAGTAAGCAATATATAAATGCTTGTTCCTTTCCCCCTTCCCTATCCATTACACCATACTGTCACTAATTATATTTTATTCTCATTATCATAACACTGAGTTGATAGATTGACTATAGCCTATAGATGATACTGCAACATCTCCCCTTATATTTACCAACTGTCCAAATGGCTTTTATTAATACATATAGATTGAATTCTGTAATATATTCCAGTACAAAAATAATCTCTTTTCACCAAAGAGATCCTCACTTCCCAGCAGATTACTCTCTTCATTTGAGCAATCTGTTATACAACACCTGCACCCTTAAAGGTTTTTTTTTAATTTGTAAAACTGTTTGTGGCACCCAGCATTTATTAATGGGAATGATACATTTACATTAGACTTGATTGCGCCCCAGCTTCAACACAATAAAGCAGTTCTATTTATGTAAATATGGTCTTTATGTGAGTCACAGAATATAAAGCCATTGTGTCATCACAATACACAGACATATATACCTCTGATCTCTTGAATCACCCTTCCTGGGCTCCTCTGTCTCTTTCTATTGTTTACTCTTAAATACGTAATATTTGGGTGTCCTTTCAGCAGGCGAGGATTCATTTCAGACACTAATGAATTTAAAAATATGCTTTTGCCTTGTCCATTTGATACCCAGCCCTGCAATTTGACTTTCAGCATTTGTTTCTATCTTGGGCTCCCGTCCTTCTCCTTCCTTTCCCTTTCTTCCCTCCCCTCCCCACCCCTTTTATTATATTTTTTATTGAAGGCTGAGATGAGCCAGTTGCTGCATCATGGGCCCATTACACTTCCTAACAATTCCATTTGCACCTTATTGTTTGTCTTATTGCTGGAAAATTCAGGTGATTCATCATGCCTGAAGAAGCACCTGATCCCAATTCCCCTGATATCATGATCACTATGTGACAGGAATACAGTAGCAGAGGTGGCTTTCAGAGTCTAAGAGGCCAAGGTGATAACTCTTTGGGGACTCTTAGCCTCTCAAGTATTGATGAGTTCCATTTTTGTAACAATGTGTTTTTTTTTCCTCCCCCCCCTTCCTCTCTTGCTTCCCTTTAACAGCCCTCTGAGTGTAGAGAAGGGGCAGAAGTTGATCAAGGATGTGGAATACCTACTGAAGTTGCCCCCAACCACCATTGTGGATATCAGGTAGGTACCTGAAGGAGGGGGCCGTCCTTTCATTGTATTCTTGCATCACATTGCAGTCAGTTTCACAAGTCAAAGCATGAGAGAAAAGTGAGGTGCTTGTATTTTTGTTAATTATATCAAAGAGAATATGTTTGGAAAGGAGTGAAGAGGAAAATCCCAGTGGTTCGGGGTAAGTTATTTAAATAGTAAATGAAACCTGAGTTTAATTATGAAACATCTGAAATTATCTCCAGAAGGAAAGATAAGTCAGCTAGAAGGTATGAAATGATATGGATGAAAAGAAGGCAGCCAGTCACCATTTATTAAAGCCTTTGGGGGTGCACAGCCTTTTACTTGTACTAGCGAACATATAAAAGATTTAGGCTATTTGATTCCTTTTCCTTAGGAGCTTACAAACTACCTGGGAAACAGGATGTACACCCAGGAAACAGAGAAACATATCAACAAATCAGCAAATTAACATAACATTACTCAAGCATATAAGTGCTAAGGAGATCATAGGTAGAAAAGGCAGAAAGAAGAATCATGAGAAATCAATTGTGGAAGGCTTCCTGGAGAATATAAAGTTGGAAAGAAGTTTTAAAAGGGGTGAAGACATAGAAGCATATCAGAAATGAGTTCGTCTATTACCCACATCTTACTGATGAGGAAACATGAGACTCTCAGAGATTTAATGCCTTGGTCAAATTCACAAAGGCAGTAAATGGCAGACCTGGAATTCAAACTTAATTTGTCTAAGTCTGAATGACAGACATAGGATTTGAATACAGGTCTCCTGTTTCTGAATGCAGTACTAGTATCTCTCCTCTCTCCTCTTTTCTCTCTGCTCTCCTCTGTTCTTCTCTCCTCCCCTCTCCTCTCCTCTTCTCCTCCTTTTCCTTCTCCTCTTCCTCCTCTCTCTGTCTCTCTCCTTTTCTCTCAGGTCATGGGCACAAGTGACTTTATGGCAGAAAATTGAGGCTTGCTACTTTCCAGGTTTGTGCCATGACACTATGGCTATTTAAACACTCAGAGAATCACATTCTCCCTCTTTTACCTGGCTATTTATTCTCTCTAAGTTGGACTTCTCTGGAAATATTTGCTCTGTATTTCATGTATTTCACTGGTATAGGAACACATTCTCTCCTAATGATCCGAGAGAGTTAACACAATTCTCCAAGGGTCCTGAGTCTAATTTTGAACCAGAAAGTTGCTTAAGAAATCTTGTTTAGTAGGGTTTAAAGTAAGACTTAGTTTTTCTCCAAAACTGAAACAAAGGAGAAACTATCTTTGTCTTTGATAAAAGTGAGCCTGAGAATATGACTGATCTTCCTCAGCATTATGCAGGGATTAGTTCTGTGTCCACTTAAATCTCTATGTATATACTTCTACAGGCCAGTTAATAAGTCATTAAGTTTTTATTTATCACTTTCCTGAGAGTCACTGTACCACAATTGTTCTGGAGCTGACCTTGAAGTGAGAAGATCTGGATTCAAGTCCTGTGCTGATACATTTTAACTGCCCTACAAAAGGCAAATCACTTGAACTTTTAATGGTAATTTTCTGATTTTGCAATTATTCCCTCCCATAAGTGGTCCTCATAAAGGACTTTAGAAAACAACAAATGCCTGGTGGGAAAAAAAAAAATCACCCCTGAGTCTTGCTCTCTTACCATCTGGCTTCTTTTAATGGACCTTTCATGAATGAGTATTCCTCATAATGAGATTTTGTGGGTTTGTGCATATGGGAGTTTTCTGAGAGAGGCAAGGGGGAGTTCTTGAACAGCTAACCTTGTGCCAAAATGGATCATAGTGTTACACTGATTTTTTATGCAATAGTAATGGCTATAGCTCTAGTAATGATTCCCTGATGACTTGGAAAATCCTTCCCAATTCAACTCAGCTTGGATATTGATACTGTCTTCAATATAATTTTTAGGCATGGCAGACCTAAATATATTTTGGAAATTCCTATTCTTGAACCATTGTCATCTTTTTTTTATCTTCAATGGATAGATTTTAATTTGACTTTATTTTGGGAAAAAAAGAGGGAAGTCATAGTAAAAACCCACTTTACCAGCCAGATTGCTGCACATCTACTAAAGGACTTTATCTATTACCATCCCATTACACACAATGGTAAGAGATGCTCATGTTTGTAAATGAATTATCCTTTGAGTTAAAATATGTAAAAAAAATTCAATATGTTCCTCTCATTAGAAAACTGAAAGCAACACAATGAAAGAGATATTTTTGATAGATTTTATGATTTAATTAGACAAAATTATCAGACTAGTCCTTCTTTTTGAGTAATCCTGTATTATTTTAATGTGCTTTTTTTTGCTTTTAGATAGAATTGTCATGTTTGAAACATGACAAGTCTCTAATTCTTCTCTGCACTGTTTTCTTCTCTTTTTTAGCAAAAGTGCTTATAAATGTACCCTCTTCCTCATTCTACTGAATTTTTACTTAACGTTCTGGCTCCAGTAAAATTCTATCTATCAAGAACACAAAGAATGGAAAGTTGGAATAATCATGTGTCTTATGCTCTATGTTTATGAAAAAGGAACAAAAAATGGGGGGAAATGTCTCATATCAGGGATCTGGTTTTGTTTTGTTTTGTTTTGCTTTTTAAAGAAACAGCTCTCAGGTTACATCATGAGGTCAGTAAAGGTCCAATTACTGACACCTTTTACATCTACAGGCTCTACGGTGATAATTGGTGTTCGGGATGATGACTCCCACCCCTCTCAAGAACCCTGTGAAGTGTGAAGTGTCTTCTCATTTACTCCCCAGTGTGACCTTTCTAACCATGCTGGGTCTTGGCAGCATCAAACCAGAAGAAGACATCACTGGGAGTCTAGTTAGACCAGGACAGTCTGATGAATATTGAAGATCTAGGTAACAGGATAGCAAGGGGTCTTGGATGAGAATACAATCATTAGAAAAGGGTACATGGGTACCATGATCCCAGGCAGGGAATTAGGATCTAGAATGCGGGAAATCTGCACAAGCAGGAAATAATAATGATAATAACTCACATTATGTTTTGAGGTTTTCAGAAGCACTTTCTTTACAATAACTCTGTGAACCAAGCAGGCTTCAGAATTCTAAGTAGTTAGGCCAAATCTAAGGATAATGAAGATAAACATAGCATGAAGAAACAGAGTTAAAAGTCAGTCCACCAGTACTTATTATTTACTTACTATGTGACAGCTTACACCATGCTAAGCATTGGGAATACAAAGAAAGCTCCCCCACCCAAAAAAAAATAGTCCTTGATCCCAAGGATCTCAATTCTTTTGGGGAAAGCAACATCCAAACAAGCACATAGAAAAACTATGTATGTGTGTGTGTGTGTGTGTGTGTATATATATACATATATATATGTATATATATATATATACATATATATATATATATATACACATATATACACACACACATATATATATATTATAGATGGAAGGTAACTTTTGAGGGAAGTCACTGAGCTACAAAAGGGGAGCTGGGAACGATGATAGGGGTGGTGGTGGTAAAAACCTCTTACGGAAAGCCAGATTTAAACTGAGTCTTAGAGCAAAAAGGAGAATTTAGGAGTTGGAGGTGAGGAAGAAGAGCATTCCAGGGAACAGAATGGCCAGTGTAAATGGTGGAGTCAGGAAATGGGGTGTCCCATGAGAGCAACAGCTAGTAGGGCAATGTAGCTAAGTCATAGTGTGAAGTGGAATAAAGCACAAGAACATGGGAAAGGTAAGAAAAGGCCAAATAGATATATGGAATCAAAGTCCCGGGAAATTAGGCAGTAGGGCTCCATAACAATAGGACTCAAGAGCTTAGGTATGAAGGAACTCTTTAATAATGGTGGAAATATTCAGCACAGGTAGAGATAAGCAGGTCTAAATGAGGAACAATAGCCAAAGCTTTACCAACTACCTGGTTTTGTGCCCTGATTTTAAATTCTTTGGTCTAGTGTGGATAGAACTGAGCAAGTTTGCTCTGAATCAGTGCCATGACTACAGTTTTTATGTACTCTTGATGGCTGTAGGTTTAGAGAACAAGGCATCCTGGGACGTTCTAGTGCCAGGTCAGCCATTCTCCTCACTGCGCAATGAGCACAATGCACTTCTCTGACTCTGATCTTAGGTTTATTCTCAAATCCCAAGTGTTTTCTCATTTCATTTTTCATTCCTTCCTTAGAGTATCTGTTCACCTCTCCATATTTATATAAATCTTATTCATTCTCAAGGTCCTGTTCCTTGCAAGTCAACCTTCTTCAACCCCTGGATAACCCAGATGATCAATCCAATCTAACAAACATTTTTTAAGTGCCCACTGTAGGCAAGACAATATGTGCTAGGGACACAAAGGCAAAATGAAAAAAAAATTGTAGCCCCTATCTTCAAGGGAATTTACATTCTACTGGAGGGATTGATATTTATCTTCTGCCCCTTTGAATTCTTATAGCATTTATTGTATTTACTACTTATTTTGCCTTTAATAATTATTGCTTCACTGTCAATACACATTAATGAATTAAAAGTCATTTATTAAATGCTTGCAAGATGCCAAACACTGTGCTAATCCCTGGAAATACAATTACAAAATCAAAGACAACTCCTGCCCTCCTGGATCTTGCATTCCAATACAGGGAGACAACGTATATATATATGTAGGTAAATCGTGTCCAGACAGAGGTATTTTGGCTCGGAAAGTTAAAGTGGAACAATGTACCCACTGCGGAATAGATACACCCTTGTCAGACTGACACATGCCAGTGTCCATATCGATTCTATCATGGTTCCTGTGTCTGTTATGTACAGGGCATTGCTCTAGGTGCTATCGGGTACCCAAAAAAAGAACAAGAATATTCTTACCCTCAAGGAACTTATAATCTAATTGGTATTATATGAACAGAAATAATGCTAATGTAATTGACTGGAGCTAGAGCTTACTGTAAATAAAATAAATGTGACATAAAACTGAAAAAACAGATTGGAACCAACCAGATTGTGCGGGACT